ATCAGAAAAATGCATTTTTTTTAACGATTGTCTCATCAAAAGCCGATAGTGTTATACCTCGTTGGAAAGGTCTTTTCATGGTTTATTTTGTGGTGAATGCGTATTTGTCATTTACCTCAATATGGAAACCTATAGAAGAAGTGATTTCAGAAGCATTCCGTTTTATGGATTTCTCTCAAAAATTTTAAATGCATTGTTTTCTTTACATAAACGAATTCAGCAAAAAATTAATGAATATAGTATAAGTTTGAAACTTCTAACGAAAGTTTTGTTTATTTATTGGCGCTATTTATCCAAGTTTAGGTTGTTTCACGTTTTCTTAAAAAAGTGAAATAGCAGGATAAAACTTTTTATGGGTAAGTTTGAAGAGCATAAAAATAGCTACATTTTGACGCCAAAAAGGGTTCGATATCATTTTTTGTTATTAAGTTATTCGCAAATTAGTGATCAAAAAATAAATAATGATAATGAATTGAAGAACACGACGCTAACGAAACAAACAAAAATATTTATGTCTAGCAACATTTGTGTAATTAGGAGAGAAAACTATTGGGAATATTGTCATTATCTTGAACATTCATCAACAAATTATATATTAAAGTGACTGAACAAATTTGCAGAAAGTTAAATGTAGAACCAAAACTCATTAAAAAAATAATTCTAACAATAATAAGAGTAATAGGTACCATATAATTAATATATAAGTAGACAATTTTCGACCGTTAAATAGTTATAATTATTGCTAATATATTGTGGAGCTGTATCTAGAATGAAGAAAGGCAGATAGAATATTTGTATAGAACTGTATATAATATCTTTGTACGTATTTATGATTATTCATTTCATGATTCAAGTGAACCCTAAAGCAACATAGCTACTAAAAACATAACCTACACTTAAGTCAAAGATATCGTAGATAATCTATTGTCTACGTTAATAAAATATTAATAGCAACATTAATCGACAGTTATATGGTAGTTATATTAGATTCTACTTTCGTGGATCTGTTTGCATGTAACGTACACAATCCAGTTGTTATTAGACATATCCAATCGATAACCACTTACATTCTGTGTACCCTCACTGAATGACCTACTGGGCATAGCCCATTTCCTCAACCCTTGCAACAGCAACAGTCTGCCGCTCGATTTTCCTTGCTTAGCCATTCCTTCACAGTGTCTAGCAATAAATCAGGCAACAATTGAATAATCACTTATTAAAAAACACCTCGTTCGATTCTTTATTTGACGTAGCGTAGCAACTACAGTTTGATCGAATATGAGTGTTGTTGGACACTTTTGGCGGTTGCTAAAACATGAGACCTGTTCATTTTTGAATCGTTCGAAATTGCTCTTGCATTTAAAACAATTTGGAAAATGTTTTCGAATATATTTTTTTAAATACAACATATTAAATGATATCGAGCAGGGATTTTTTCTTGGTATATCTAACTCTTTTTTCATACAGCCTCTTCATCAGACAAGTCACTGTTAAGCTAAGCCAAAGTTGCGTAAAATAGCAACAAAATTTAGCCGCGAATGATACGCATGAAATGAAAACTGTTATCTATACGATGTGAAGTCCGATTTTGTATGAAAACATGTCTCTGGTGAGGATTGCAACTCTAATAACGGTTAAACAGTAAGTTATATACGAGTATACTTTAAAATACTTAGTAGCAATAAGAAATATTGATTTTTTTTTTGTATTTTTGCTATTAAGGGACACATACACGTTCAGTTAACCTCGAAGATAAGTGACTACGACTGAACGTGTTCTGCTTCATGCTTGTATCATACTAAAAATGAGTTATACGCCAAAATGTTACCTAATCCTACAAAGTATAATTCTAAGGCTTATTTGTGACTGTGAAAGAGTTAATCTAGATAGTAACCCGTACGTCAAATCTTATTTAATTCAATTTGTTCCTAAAATTACACTAAAAGAGAAATTGTGTTTCTGTTTGAGAAGGATTTTTTCTGCTAGAGGTCTACATCTAAGTATACCCTCTATGTATATAAAAAGCTTTAATATTTTCCCTCTTCTTACTTTTAAAAGAATTGTTTCATAGGAAAGGTAATTTTAATAATTCGTTATAAACATCATTAGAAACTACAAACACTAATTGTAAGTTATATTTATATTTTTTCCATACAAGATTCTGAAAATTAAAAAAGTCTTAAATACCTATATAAAATACATAGAGAAAAACATTTATTTTTTTTTACAGAAGTGGCTCAGCTTTAATAGCGTTTTAAAAATAAATTTTTAAATATATTATATTGTTATATAGTTATATAAAATGGCAGGTAATCAAAATTAATGACTTTATTGATAAAAAATGGTGAATAGGAAAAATAAGCACTGATGAAATAATGATTACGCCATTTTTCAGGAAGTACCTAACAAAATGTCGGCAATATTATTAATTTTATGAAAACCTCGTAAAAGAAAATTAAGCCAAACGAAATGTTAAAAACTCTCCCTATAGGCTCCAGTCACGCTGATTGCAGAAAGGTTCAAACCAGTGGCAATAACTTAATTTTAACTACTGCCTGCGACAAAATTAAATGTTCCGTTTAGACAAACATCTAAATATTAAGGCAGTTATATCCCTAATAATACTTTTAATTTATCTACCATGCAACTAATCCGGCACTAATTAACATTGATTAAACAGCGACAAACGGCCAGTACAGCGTCTGATGTTTAAAAATAACCCACTAATTTACTAAGTTCAGCTCCCTTACCCTGTTGAATTCCTCATCATCAACCATTTTCTCCGACTGGCACTAAAACCGAACTGAAAATTTATTCCTAGATCCAACTAGTTGAGGTCGTAATTACGACAATCAAATCGCATATAAAAGAATTGTTGTATCTTCTTTCAGTGCCATTTTCCACAAAACTGATTTGTTGTAATAATGAATATAGAATGAAGTTCCAATAAGGGCATCGCGAACCTATTGCAAACCGTTCAGTGAGATAGAAAATCAGGTACGGACCAGAAAAATTGGAGCCCCATTTTGGATAAATTATTTTTATTTTAATTTTTAATTAAATAGGTAATTTTGCTAAATTTTATTGTATAAAGTTGAATTTCGTCTTTAATTTCTCAATAATTAGCTTATTTGTGCAAAGAAAAAGACAGTCAGAAGAGTCAGATACAACCTAAAGTCAATGCCATTTATTGAACAGCTGTTGGCTGTTGCTTGTAAAATAAGGAATTTATATTTTTTTAACGTTATAGTCATTTTTTTTTGCTTTCTAGTCGGTAAGTTATTGATAGAATGTTTAATTTGGTTAAATCTCTTATTGTGAGACTTCTCAAATTTCGGAAATAAAAAAATACAATATGATAAACAAGATGATAAAATTTATAAGCACCATAGTATGGCAATAACTATAGAAAAAAGACATCACTAAATGACATAATTCCATTATATTACTTTATGGTACCAATTAAAAATTATCTGAAATTAGATACTTACAAAAGCATAGCAATATTTAAAGACAACTATCTTGTACGTTCTGAAAATTACTACGTCATTCTACGATACTCTGCTGAAATAAATACTGAAGTTAAGTATCTTGCTACACTCCTTTGTGTCTAATTTTGTCCAGTACGGTCCATCTCTATGACTACTCGCTGATCTAACTACCGTTCGTGGTTGGATTCATTAAAGGGCAGTAATCACGAACGTCAGAATAACATTTTATGACATTACAAACTGCGGTATAATAAGAAAATGAATAATATGATACTATAAAATTAACTTTTTTGTGGGATTATTACAGGAACGTCAGAAATGAGGATTTACTTCCTCGAATGTCACGGCTAACGTTGAAATGGGACATTTTTAATGGTACCAATTATTTACATTTTAAAAGATATAGGCCTGACAAAAAAATGGTGGTTGCTATAACGATAATAATCATTATTTGTGTCACTTTTTTAATAAATTTGCAACTAACCGTAAAAGGGTAAAAAAAAAAATGCATTTATTTACATCTGAAGAGTATTGTGATGTTGTCTTCGTATTTTGGTGTTCCAATGGGAACGCCAGGCAAGCAGTCCGAGAATACCGACGAAGATACCCAAATAGACATCAACCTGCCTGCCTGTCAAAGTTTGTCATAGAGCTTGTAGAACACAGTGTATATCTTGCATCTTATGTGACTATTATATCGACATCATAGTAATTTGTAATACAAAATTTATATAATTCGTCTCTATCTTATTAGACGACAAAGGGGACCTTTATTTTAATTAAATACCATGAATAAATCTGTATCAAATTCTAACGTTAAAGTTCGTACCAGCCAGAGAGAGGCATGCTCAGTATTTATATTACTTACATTTACATGGCATGCTGAAAGATGCCAAGACTGTTAATTACTACAACGTTATTCAGAAGGAATGCCCACCCAGAAAAAATTGCCGCTGTTTTTATTAGAAACACAGTACAGTGCATGCTATTTTTGATGACGTACTTGGCTATCTCGATTTTAAGAAAGATAAAAAGTTGCGGTTTTAGAGGGAAATCTTGAGATGTAACAAAGTGATAGAGAAATAACAGGACGCTCTCTGCCAGTTTGGCCCCATTGAAGGCCAAAACATTGAGTAATATAAGGTGTAGCTCGTTTATATGTCACATCTCAATCAAAAGATCTATCCATTCGCTGTCAGGACTTGGTGGTCATAGATAGTCATATATTTGATGCTTGTTGGAGATAGCTATTTATATTGCTAATATTTTCTGTTCAAATAAGCTGAGTATTACTTAAATGTTGTGTATTTTATCAAAACTTCTCCAACTCTGATTGAACCCTTGGTATGACTTAAGGAAAATTAAGTGCCACAACAATATTTATTATTGTTATTATATCTCCGAATCAAATCGATCCACAACTCTCTAAATTCGTTCGCGAAAAAACGCCGCGATTCGTTGACCTCGATAAAAACCCATGAAAAATTACCGCCAGTATCGCGACCGGCATGAATTAAACAGGAACCTTGAGTGTAGCGTACGCCGTTGCCTGTCTAGACCACGTGGTTTCTCAATTATCATATCTCCTTATCATTGCGTTAATTGCTTTGCGACATGTCAGAGTCTGTGTAGTGCCAATAATTTGAATAATATTCCATGATCTTGTAGTTTCGTCTTTGTATCAAAGATGAGTTTCTCAAGACAAGGCTTTTGTGAGATAGGTAAGAATTATTTTTATACATTAGTCACGTTGTATGTAGTGTATTTTTACTACGCTGTGTGTGGTTTCATGCGGAAGAATAAACACGAATAGAAATTTTCGCAGCTATGGTGCAATGAAACGTACGACAAAGCTAAGTGTATTAAATTCTTGATGTTATAAATATCTTTACGCTTTTAATTTAAAATAAAAGCCTATCAAAATTATTTAGGTTTACTTTTTGTTGCCTTAAAGGTAAAAATATTAAAGATATGTGTACTATTTGTTATCAAATAATAGATTTGATCAGAAACATTGCAAATAGAATACCTACTGTAATATTTTATGTCTTATATTCTCTATTATAATCCCTGTTTCATATTCTATAATTTTGTGATGTTTTAATTTCACGGAGCAGTAAAAATTGTCGATTCTACTTTACTGGCAGTTCCTTATCGTACAGACTACCACAACTAAGCTAAATCGGATATAACAGCTTCCGTTTTCTTACCAACAGGATAACAGTTTTAACCACGTTTGTAGTTTTTATCATTACATGTGTTCGATAGCACCTTTTTTGGAAGCGATGTTCTAAATTCTACGAATTCGTTATCCGCAAAATTCCCCTAAGTTAATTGTGCAAGCCATAGTTTATTTATAACTAGTTCTTCCGAAAAGTACTATAAGATGTTACGGACGTAATTTCGATTCCCGTAAAAATAAAAATAGACATGATGATTTAACGAATTATTATTGTTATAAAATGGATACAGTTATTTTATATTATTACTATCTCTATGTGTGTTGAAATTGTAAATTGACACGATATACAGGTAGTTCCTTTTTTAAACATACTAACTACTTAACAGTTGATACAGAACTTCATTTTGAACACAATGTATATTTATTAACAATATAACTTAACTACAAAAAATTTCTGCTTTGTTGCAGTCCACAGATGGTGCTCCTCTGCGTTCGCCTGCAGCAATGACAGTGAAGAAGAGAGGGGGGAACTCCTCAACACGACTTCGACTTTCCGAATTACCTCTTGCGACAAGTTCTGGATAGTGGTGCTTGCCCTGATCTTTATAGTAGGAGTATCTGCCTCAACTTATCTTCTAGTTGTGGAAGGTAAGAAATATCCACGATTATCATTTATGTGGCGTTCAGTCATATTGAAACTGCTCGCACAATTCAGTAGAAGAATTGCAAGTCAGACATAGAAATCGAATTACAAAGTTTGCAAACAGTTCTTGAGTAATCGCGAGTTGTTAGATATAAATATATCTGTATAGCGATGTTTATTTTGTCTGTGTTATAGCTTTTGGGTGTAGTAATTATTTTTATTTATTATTTATGTAACAGAGGACACAAATTTATCATACTTGAGATAACAAGGCGTCCCGGTATCTAATATTTTGATATGTATGTCGGTATCTTTTATAAACTTTAAATAGACTCATTATTAATCATTTGGCCTCTCTCTATATGTATCCGTAAGTCACTAAACAGCACATTACTAATATAATTAGAAAAGCGAAAGTCACACCTAAAAAATATGCGCTTGGACTTTTCAGGTAAGGATTGGCCGTAGATTTTTGCACGACACAGCATGTAAAGAAATCGTAAGACTGCCAGAAAAACTTCTCCCTCGAATTTTTATGTGATATATTATAATGCAAAATACAAATATTTGATTTTTTGAATTGTATCTTATTTTTGTCAAATACATCATTCCTTTTTAATGGAGTTTTATTTATAGAAGGAGGGATATAATAATTAAGAAAAGTGAGGGAAACAAAAAATAGCGTCTCGTATTAATAATAGAATTCGAAACTTTCAAAAAAATATGCATATACAAACTTAAATCAAATTCACTGTCCATTAAACTCATGGTTTCCGATTAAATCGAAATCGGATATAATGGGAACATCTCAGGCATTTGTAACCTTTCAGGTAGAGATCCCGTTGCAAACGGCTTCACCCTGGTGCCTGGAACAGAATGGATATCTTGGACTAAATGTAAGGAGACCCCTCATCTTCAACTGCCTGTTCAACGAATCCTTCTGCTTCCAACTAACACCACTGAGTGTTGGAACGAATTGGAATGTTTGAACGAACTTAGAAATCTTAGCGAAGACATCGTTAAAAGACTGAACAACACAGTTGTTCCATATAACTTTGTCCTGGCGGGGGATAGCCGAATATACGAAGGAAGAGGATGGAACTGCTCTTCTGGCTTCGACAGCAATGGTGTCCAACTTTTCACTATAGGGTTTTTAGGTAAGAACAAATACTTTTCAACTTAACCTCTTTTTAGTCTACTTAAATAAACTATTTAAAACCTTTTTCAGTATGTATGTTGTTTTTACTTACAGGAATGTATGACAATCGACTGCCAACATCAAAACAAGTGAAGGCCTTAGAAGCGTTCCTTGAGGAAGCCATCTTGGAGCACCGTGTCTCTGACTGCTACCAAGTATTATCACAAGACTCGGCAACAACTGACGTGGCACATAAGTTAGAATCGAAAAAGAAAAAGAATATATGTTAGACAATGTTTTTGATTATTGCTGAATTATGCCAAAGACAGTTTACTTGTTACATTTTCGTAACAGGTTTGTACCTCACAAGATGTGATAGTGAATTTGTGATTTATTGTCTAATTTATTTTGCTATATTATATTAATGTGGAACTACAAATAAATATTTTCGGAAAAATATTTATTGCAAGGAATGAAATTCCAATGATAATGGTCAATTTTTGTGGAAGATATTGCCATTCTTGTAGAGCTGGTAATAAAAAAACCTCACATTCTTTGGTTTAAATATTGACTATATTTAACTTGAAGATATATAAAATATTTGAGTACAGACTCACACAAATCACAGTTTATTTCTTAACAATATTACACAAAGAAATATAGTCAGAGAGCTAACCCTATATGTTAAAAAAATTATTTGATCATAAATAAAATAAATAGTATTCCTAAAACTAAAGGAGCATTTTGTTTTTGAGGCAGCAATCGTTATCATCTCCATTTTGAACTAATTGGAGACGGAAAAATGGTAAACTCTTCATTGGTCCAATTTAGGTTTGCATCCTTTATACTTTATAACCGAAAAAATCTTCTTCTTAGGGGTATCCGAAACCTCTGCGTCTTTCTTTTTCTATACACAAACAGTGGTCGAAATACTATCATATCCGCAGTTTGCATTATTTCATCGTTATTGTTGGATTCACTATTCTTTCTCAAAGTGGTTCTTTGTAAGTCAAATTTTTCGGATTTAATGCTACCATACTGCTTAGAACTACTGGAGTTATTTGATGGGAAACCAAAGCATGCTATGCAATACAGCATAAGGACGAATGCCACTGCCTAAAAAATGAGATACTAACTTTTAATCTAAGAACACCTAATATTGAAACAACAGAACATAAACGTTATAAATTTTACAGCTAACTATAGATTTTTGTAACAACGTAAAATTAAAAATTAAAAAAAAATAAAATTCACCTAATAGGCTGATTAACGTTTATTTTGAAATTATGTTTTCTTTTAAATATATACTGTATACAAATTATTAGTAAATTATATTTTCTCTCACTATTACCATAATTTGCGAATGAGCTATAATTTTACGAAAATTTTAAACAAATATTTGCTTACCCATTGCATTTCGAAACTTTTCCTAAATTTCTCTTGTACACTTGACACTGCTTACTAATAAACGATCTTTGCTTTCTCCTGAAGGATTTTTCACTTATATACACTTTTAGCTGAAGAGTTAATTAAAAGCGTTCGTACGTAAGAGGGCTTCTCGAAACAGTCCATAAGGATGGGATTATTCGCATAAAATTCATGACACAGGATTGTTTACTCATGCCAAAACAAATACCTAAATTTAAGGTGTGTGTTTAACCGTACCGAAGTTAATAAATAAAGTAAACTCTTCGGAAAAATATTTATTGCAAGGAATGAAATGATGGTAATTTTTTGTGGAAGATATGATCACCTTATAAAAATGAGTAATGGTCAGTTTGAAGAAAACTGCTAGTATATAAAACGTGCGAAAATTGTCATTTTTACAGTCTAATACTGTCCAAATGGGATGTTACATAGTAAGTGAGACTAACAGTTTTTATTATAATATAAAAATATACCTACATACGGCTTAGTTTTCGAAATACAGTGTGTTAACGTATATTCATTGTGCAAATAAGATGTTTGACAGACTCAAAAAACTTGGCTAAAATTTCTAAAAGTCACTGTTCCTAAAAGTAATAATGTCTACTATAACAAATGATGGATTTTAGCGTCCTAAAAAAAGTCAGGAATGTTCTTTTGTATGTTACGTCCGTAACCCTCCTATATTTATCAATGAATTCTCCTGAAAATTCTAAATTGTATTCATATCTATAGGTCATGTCATTACACTTATAACAGCTACCTTGGGAATCCCTCAGGAGTCAAACTTGTGTCCGCTACCTTTCCCCTATCCGTGAATGCTCTTGACAATATGCGAAATTGTGATTATATGCTGAGAACGGTGATGAAAATTTATGATGGCGTTTCTTCAGTCAGTCAGGAACACAATCCTCAGCAAGAACTCAATAAATTTTTATTTTTAACTAGGTTTTTTCTATTTATCTAACAATATTTTTTGTGTAGGATTCTTTTCTTATAAATAAAAATTATTATTATTATAAATTCAATGTGTATCTGCTAAATGAAACAATTAAAAACATATACATATTTCAAAACACGTTTATTTAATATTTACGGTAACAAAATATACAATTAACAAAATATATCTCCCTAAAAAAGTAACAGGCAGTTGTAATAAATAAATAAATAAATATCTACTACATCAAACAACTTTAAAACAATCCTTAAACCTAAATAAGGTACGCCGGCATTATCCTATTAACTTTTCTATAACGGTACGGATCTCTCTTAATCGGCTGTTTCGACTGTTTCTTCTTATATCTAAATATGGGGGTGTACACCACCCTATGGGCCGTATCCAGGATCTCGTCCTGTCGCCGTTGAACAGGAGCAGGGTCAGGATAATAATAATATTGCGGATAAGCCCTCGGATTACCGCTGCCTTCTTTGTAAGCAGCAGCGTTGAAATCGGCGTTGTTCATCGGAAAGCTCATGGACGAAGCCAAGACCGCCAGTAAGAAGATCAGTGAAGGAATCTGAAAAAAAAAATAGTAATAAGATTTTAACTGTAGATCGTGAAGAATGAAATAAAAATATATTGAATCTAATAACAAGAAATAAAAATAGGAACATGTCAAAAAGGACAAATAAAAAACAATTAAAATACCAAATTTTTTCGTTTATTTGAGAAGTCGTTGTTGATTTTATTGAATATTTTAATAAATTTGCTGAAAGATATTCATTTTAAAACTTCAAACCCTGTATCTAAAAAACAATGGCAAATATTTGCATAAAAAAAATTATTAAATTTAGGCAACGAAAATGTTTCTTCATTTTTATACCGTTCAGTATTTTATCGTTACAAATTACTAATTTGTACTAACATTATAAAAGCTATTCAAAAGAGAGTTAAAAGATCACCTTGTGGGAAAAGAATGAAAAAAACTCCTTCATTTTTGACACACCTTGAAATATTGCACATAATTCTTTTCTACTTTTAGTTAGAGTTAGTTAAACTTACATTTCTCATCTCGCGTACTTTGATAAAAAATCGGTGCTCTCCCCAAAACAAACCACCAACAATTAGCCTGGTGGATAAACAACATTTGCTTATATACACGACGTTGATCTATAAATAAATTTCTATAGTCTTAATTTCTTGAAGTGATAAGACGGCTCGCAGAAAAATTCTGTTATTCAGCAACAAATTAGAAATGATCACCTGCTAATTATTTGTCCACATAAAAACAAACCGATTTGTTTGGTTTAACAGCCTACTCTTTGCTTTTCGTACATCCATCTAATTGGTACTGTAAACCCTTATGGAAAGTATCGCTAACAGACAACGGTGAATCAGAATTGGAGAATAATACCTACAATGTTCTAGCAATTTTCACATTATTTGGCACGTCTCTTACACGAAGAAAAATGTTTGTTGAAAATCTGTGGATGATTTAACTAGTAAGTGGATAAATCTGTAATTATTAATTAAACAATATTGTACATATACAGTGTGCACTCGACATACTTGTCCTACGGAAAAAATGTAAACAACTATAAGTTGTGAAGCATTTAGTAAATTTCAAGACAATTGTTTTCCAGTTTTTAAAGAAATAAAATAAAATATTTTATAGTACGAAGATAGTGTTGTGCTTAAATTTTAGCTCGAATTTTAGTAATTATGAATCTCTTAAAACAGGAACTTAACTTTCAATCAAATTATGAATTTGAAAAATATGTAATTAAAGTACCCAAAAATTCACGACGTCCATCACCATACGTATTAAAAATAATTTAGTGACTTTAGATCAAAAAACAAAATTCAGTAATTTTTAAACGCACAGGTACAAAACAAACTACAACATATGCTCAAAGTGTCCACCACCATCCAATTTTCGCGCGGTAGCTGGAAAACACCTCAAGAAAAGGAAATAGTGGTATGCAAAAAACACTTAGACACGGTCCAATTCCAGATACCAACTGAAATAAAGGTTTTTTGTTTATTTTAATGTATTCCATCATCTGTTAAAATTAAGGCAGTCAAACTTTTAACACCCTGTATATTTCAAATGGAAAAAAAATGAAAAAGTTGAGGATAAAACAGTGACAGTCATCCCCTAAAACTACCCCTTTCGCAACATATAGAATTTGCATAATAGTATGTAAATTAATGCTTTGAAGTCTAAATAAGATATCCTGAAGGATTTTTAAAATATCTCAATAAAAAGTGGTATATACTGTCATTTCTTAAACTTCCTTTAATACCCATTTTCGGTAAAAGTTAAATATAAAAAAGTTATATTTATTTTTTATGTACTTTCTGTCCAGAAAATATCGGGAAACTATTTAGGACTATGATATATCCCTTGAATTAACCCCTTGACTTCAGTTTTCAATTATATTTACTTATTAGGAACTAATAAGGACTAATAATTTTGAAGACTATAGAAATCCATTAACTTTGGTCAAATAAATTTAATGAAACCTGAATTTTAATTGTTTGAATATTTGTTTATCATATTTACAATATCACATATTTTTAATATTGACCCATTTTAAAATTACATCGAAATTATTCATATTTCTTACGTATAATTAAATCTGCAATCTTATCCTTAAATACGATATTCAATAAAAATGAGACAAAAACTTTTGTATAGATATATACATTGCAACAAATTATTTCTAATCATTGTGATGACGTCAGTGGTATTCCAGTATTTAAAAATACAAAGGAAATAAAATGAAAACAAAAGAAATCTTAAAACTATGCTAAATCCTGTTCCTAAATAGTTCAAAATAGGTTCAAACTAAATTATTTGGTCCTACACAAATATCTAAACATATTTAATTCTGCTACTAGTAAAGAATACTTTTAACCAAACCTATCAATTATTTTAACTAATACTACTTAAAAACACAACTTTTTACGTATTTTAACAATGTACAGAGAAAAAGAACTTTTACTTCGCCTAGTAACACAAGTAACGTAGAATTATACGACTAATAAATCCAATAATCAGTAATAGCTAATTTATAAAATAAAAAATAATACGAATAAACTCAAATTTTGTACAAATAATCATTTCTAAATGATCCCTAGTCCAACTCCAGCTTCCTGAAGCTCCCGGGTAAGCTGCCACTCCCTGTATCGTCTTGGGAAGGGGTATTTTTGCTCCTGATGATGCCTTTGTCGCTGAGGAGATTCATAGCGTCGAAACCGAGCAGTCTGTCTCTTTTGGCAGACAACTCTTCTTTCCACATATCCACCATTTCCTTGGAAGGGATTTCACCACCCAGCTCCAAGGGCAGGCATCTCTTGGGAATCTTGGTTAGCAGTTGATCCGTGCAATCGTGAACCTAGAAAGTTGAAGTATTCCTTATTTTAGACAAATCTCAAATTTTAAGTAAGGCCTAAACTTACAGCGAATCTTTCTTTAAGCTTCTGACTCAAATTAGACTTGGCGAAATCATAAATGTACTTTATTGGAGCCGGTAGGTTGAACAAATTTATTTCCTTGTGTCTCATTGGGAAGGATTGCTGAAACAAACATGCTACCTTTGAAACCTTAATAATATTTCATTACAAAATCCACAGAAACACTTGCAGCGTCAATTACTGGAGCAGGAAGCTCGTCTGTCACACTTACCTCGCCCCATCGTATTAAATAAGCGAATTCGGTCACAGAAAACAGTGTAACGAAAGATGGACCAACGGCTCCTAAGTCTGCTACGTGATTAACACCTAAAATTTGATTCTCTTCGTCTTCCATCAACGTTTCGTACGTTATAGCGTGAGCTCTTGACATATCTGTACCGTTAAATTTATCTAAGTCAAATTTACCTAAAAACAGAGAAAACGCATTTTAAAACTTTGTCATTTTGAACCTAAAATAAAGGTTAGTACAATATTTACAAACTAATATTTAAATCTCGGTAAAAAAAACAAGAACCCACCTAGATCATATATTATCACCCTTCTGCCATTAGTGTCTCGAAAAGGACTTACAAATATATACCTAAAAGTTAAAAAGGTGCTTCATAATTCGCAATTTTTTGTCTAACAGTTCTCTTACCCGTTGGTGATAAGTTGGTGTACCTTTGAATCCATATAGTCCAGGTCATACATTATATGCTTGAATTTCTTACGATAGTTAAGGTACTTCAAGAGCACCTGTTGAGCCATTGGTATGCTGAACTTTTTTACCCTCAAGAACCGAAGCAGAAAAACGTCATCTAGACGAAAAAACAGTTTAATAAGTCAGCATTTGATCTGCGTTGTTACAAAAGCATTTGGTGAATTTAGAAAAGAATTTAAGCGATAAAATGTTGAACGATGAAGATGATTTTTTATGAAAGAATAATGAAAAAAGAATTTGTCATTGGTCACGTAATTAAATCTACATATATGTACAACAGGTGACATTATAATCGTTCTCTCTTCTATTCTTTCTATTTTCATTATTGTCTTTAGTGTAGCTACTCCTTTTTTACCTGTAATGCAATTTTCAATGTCAGGATTCTGTTTTATCCATTCTCTGAGATGAGCCAGACACTGAGTCCTCACATTTTCTTCTTCCCTCAGTTCCCTCCTGGCTATTGCCGCTAAATTTTCAGATATGTTGGTGTCTTTATCTTTGTTGGTATTGCCATTGTGATCCTCCCACGAATTGGTGAATATAACTTCAGTGGTAGACATCTGCTGAGGCAGAACATGCCATAATAGATCATTTAGGGTATGATATTTGAATATATTTTGAATTTCACCATGTTAGACATTACTAGTACCTACCATATTTTAAAATTAGGATAAGAAATAAAAATATTTTACGTAAATAAGTCAGTAATCTGTAAATTATTTCGTTTAAATACGATCTTAAAATACCATAAAAATTACTGGGTTTTGTAAAGAAATAGTTAATCTAACATTGAACATTTTTAAACGTTAGTTGACCTTGTGATTGCTTAATTGTTCTGGTTAATATTTATTTACTCTTTTATATATCAAACAGCGTATTTTCTTAATTTTTTTATATAGAAAAATATAGTTATGCCCAAAGTATGTCAAGACTAGTTTGAATAAGTATGCCATAACAAAAGTATATTTTTTAGTAGTTTTTTCATAAATCTGCCTTAAATTTACAGAAAAAATCAAGTCATGCAATTGTAGGAAAAGCGTAAGCTATATCGTTTGCAACCTAACAGTGCTAATAGGCACTAACAACTTGCAGTCACAGTTGCTTCCTCGTTTTCTGCCCCACAATCAAATTAAAGGAACAACAGTTTGGCGTGAAAGTACTGTACAAACATGTACTTATGATTACCTATTCCATTTTTACATCACATTCTGCCGAATAAGTAATGATTTAAATAATAGCCTGTCACGACATTTACTTAACAAAAGCAAACAGAAAATACACATCCGTTGTTATAAAATAATCGGCCGGTGCGGTGTTTATATAATATTTAATTTTACCCGTCCCTTTTATTAGCGGCCATAATAGAAGTGCTTATTAAAATATGACTGTAGTAACTGTTAGGCAACGTGCTTTCTTTACCTCATGTAAAATGAAATCCTAATTTTCCCTTGTTACGAAATTAAAGCAATGTATGAAACTTGTACCCAATTTGAATAATTTCATTTAACTTTGTGTCGAAGCACTAATTACGGCGAAATAACGACAATAAAGTTCCTTTCAAGGTCACTCGGCGACAATAATTAAAAAAATGTTAGCGCTAGTTATTAAGACAATCTGTTGGGTAACTGGAACAAACAGCTTTATGTTGAAATACCGTTTATGGGTATTAGGTCTATTATTAGAATAAATCTGCGGAGGCAATAAATGAGTGGTTTAAATAATATCTTCATATCAAAAACGTTTGATTGATTACCTCTTCATGAACAGAACAGGTGAATTCTTCAACTACAAGATGTAAGTAGATATACTTTGCTCAATAAACTCAATGTGGTATAATAACTTGATTATATTGTGCGAGAAAGGCAGATACACTGTAAGAAATGGTAGATACCTACCTATTTGTATATCTGATGTTGCAGCGGAGAAAATTGCTTTTTATGCAACAACTTCAACATGCAGCTTTCCCCTGCAAGAGGTACCATAAAATTTAAATATACCTAAATAAATCTTAAAATGCAGTTAATATCTCTGTGGCAGATGAGAAGTAATAGATCCACTTTTCCAATTGCTAGTTCGCAGACAAAATAAGTCATAGGTATCTTTCGCAATGTTGGGAAAGTGGACTTTTGTTCGTGTTAATTGTTTTTAAAAATTTATAACTGTAAAGGAGTTTAAATACTAAAACTATTTTCATTACTTTAGCCACCTCATCATTTAGAAATTATTTGTATAAAATATTAGGTAGTATCAAAACTAAATAATTTGCATGAACCAAAAAGTTTACATACAAGAAGTAAATAGCGAGATTAAAGAACGATTAGTTAAAATTTTTAAGATCGTTCACTTAAAAATGATTTCTTTAGAAAAAGATAAAGCGCAAAAGGTGTAATCTGTGGTGTTAATGTTACAAACGATTGCTAATGGTAAAATAGAAAACTAGATACATCAGTAACAGAATAATTGGTACCATTTAGTAACGATTAATGGTGAAATGATGTTACTACCTTTTGTTTCTTCAATGTATTCACAAAATTGTTCAAGTAGCTGTGTCAGTTAATGGGAATCTGCTAATCAGTCTAGTATATTTTTACTTTCGTAATATATGACACTCATTGTACAATATTTAAACTACTACTCAATTAAGAAATTAAAAAATTTTTTTATGAAAAAAGTTGGACTGCCGCAATCTGCTGACCTCCAAACAAAGCCTTGATTGATTTCTTTAATGAATGCACAAAAAGTAGATAGCTGTTTTATTAGCATAATTGAATTACAAACTAAGGATTTTTCATTAGGTTTAATACAATTATTTTGTCCTAGTTTTGTATATGGTTTGTCCCTAATGAATCTGCTGTCTTAATTACCCTGTACATGCAAGACTGCATACTTGTTTCACAAAGTATGCACATACAAAGAAATGTTGAATTGCCGAATATTTCGTCATGCGCGTAATTTTCTTTTCTCGTGTACAAGCTTTCCCTGTCGGTCTGTTATGTTTGGAATTTAGGTAATAGTTGCATAAGACAACGGGGAAAGTTTCAAGTTCAAGTTGAATAATTTCATGGGATCAGCTCTTTCAATCCGGAATTATAATGCGATGACTGGGTATTTTTAAATGTGTCGCACGTCGCCAGTCTACAAGCAAATTTGGTATTTTTCGTAAAATTTTACTTCTCTGAGACCTGCCGACAGGGTTTATCAAAAAGGTTAACTATAATTTGATTAATTCAGCTTTGATTGTCATGGTATGAGAAATTGAATTAGTCATTGCTAAGAGATTTAGTTAAATCCTATTTAAATTTCTGTTGATAAAAGAGATTTGATTTGAGGCACATGACTATAAACTGATTTCTTTGTAGTGCATTTTTTTTCACCATGTACCTATTGTACCTTTTCCAAATGCTTTTCAGCAGTAGTCGATTTAATTTCAGAAAACGTCATTTGAGATTCATAGTAAATTTCAAATCGCGTTATTGATATAATTTGATCAACGAGATTTAAACATACACTTAGAATCAAATTACAAAATGTATAAAGACTAATTCGATTTGAGATATTTTTAAATAAATAGAAATTAGGAGAACCCCTAAAGCCACGCAGCTGCATATAAAAAAAACTCTATTTGTTTGTAGATTATCAAAAATAGCAGCTGCTTAGAAAATTTGAATGAAATTGCGTCAGTTGTTTTCTTGTTTAAAAAAGAAACATGATCTTTGACATGGAATCTGCCAAGCTTTTCTTTTCTCACTTTCTGGAATCAATTTAGATATAGCGATAATATAATTATAAGATTCTCGAACCAAATTAATAGAAAGTGAAAAGGATATTACGAAACACTTTTAGAAATTTAAAAAAATATATTTTTTCTCTATGTAATTATAAGTAATTATCGTTAGGTTACTAATTATATAATTCCATTGAGGCTAAAACCTCCATGTCAAGCAATGTCGCGAAATTTTTAGAAAATACCCAAAATATTTAATATAAAAATTAATTGAAGAAATGGTATTATGGTTTTTTTAATATATAAACTACTTGTACCCAGGCACTTTCTTAAAAAAAATACTGAACCTTCAAATTTCTGCAGAGGAATTTAATAATAAAATATTTTTATGCATTTATAGACAAACAAGCTATGAAAAAACATTAAAAAACGATAATAAAATTAATTATAATAACATTACTAATATCAGTGATTTGGATTTCTTCAAAAGTCCCTTATTCATAAATAAAGGAGCTACTATCAGATCAATTTCTCATATTAAATTTTGAGAAATTTGATACACATTTATTTAAGAGGGCGCTAAATACGATTTCTTCAATTTTAACCCACAAAAAAATAGGGTTGGCCTTGATTAATAAAAATCAAATGACATTTTGTTCACAAGTACAGTTTTTGGTGTCCAACGAAAAAAAAATCGGTTAAAATCAATTTACTTTTATCAGGTTGTTCACGTTTGAAATGGGTCCTTTGATAAAATCATGTACATTTTTTTTATTTTTCATAGAATCATAGACTTTACTAATAAGATTTTCATTAAAAGTTTAGAAAAGATCGATTTGAAAATGTATCCACTTACCTCAAAATCAACACCGGTGGCAAGAGATCGGTCTAGGAGTGCCTCTCGAAGAAGTCACAGTCTTGAGTACCGCAGCAACACACAATGGATTTCAATTATTGAACTATCACTCCAGTCTTGTACCTACCCACACTTGGAAGGGTTTCTTTTTCTTTTGCTAGCTGCTTCTGGGGGAAAATCTCAAGGTCTAGACATGCAGGAAACAAAATATTTACGCTACTTTGTTTTGCAATACTAGTTATTGTTATATCATCGGGGTTTGTTTAAATTATTTCCTACTAGTATGTCGTGCGGTCACAAAACTGACCTACTTTGGTAGTTTTTCCCACGTTTATTCGCTATTGCAGTCGAATTGTTTATTTATTTTTTAAAAGTGCATCTGCAGATTATTTGTTGCAGCGAAGTATCACTGCATTGTGTGACCCAGATACAGATTTCCAATTATTCTTAATTAATCTATTTATTTATTTGTATTAAAATTACTTTGTTAATTAAATGTGAAATTTATATTAACAGGAAAATAATAACTTCTATTATTCTCTCTACGTCGTTTTACCGATACGCTTTCTCTTTACCGAAATATTTAAACAAAATAAAGATGAAACTCTTTAGGGGGCGGTAGATATAATATTTTTGCGATATTTACAAAGGCTTTCAAGATATCCAATTCAGATTTTAACCTTAGGCTTGTCAACTTCTG